CATTTAGACACACACACACTCACACACACACACACACACACGGGGGCAGATGGTGCGGGTAGCCAACGTGAATCACAGAGAGAAGACGGCCATCTACAAGCCAAGGGGAGAGGCCTGGAACAGATCATTCTCTCATAGCCTTCAGAAGGTAGCAACCCTGCTTGATCTCAGACTTCCAGCCTCCAGACTGTGAGAAAATAAATTTTTGTTGTTGAAGCCACCCAGTCGGTGATATCTTGTTACCACAGTATGTCGGCTAATGACTGCCCAATCTATAGCTCTCTCTTGAGACACAGATGCACATGGCCAACTGCTGACCACACCTGCCTGCAGACACACCCTTATTTTACTATATTTTCCCCCAAATGTGCTCCTCTTCAAGTTTTCCTTAACCATTATCTAACTAATTATCCCAGGTCAGAAATCTTAGAGTCAGTGCAAACTTCTCCTCTTTTCTTTATTCACATTCCTCCAATCCAATTAGTCCCATCATTTTTTTCCTCTTATATATTCCCCAGTTCCATTTTCTCCACCACCTCTGTTTTAGCCCAGATCATATCTCTTGACTGCTATTGTAATAGATTTCTAATGGGTCTCCCCATTGTCATCTTGCCCTCTCAAGTCCAGACAGAGTAATCCCTGCAAAATGAAAATATAATCCTATTATTCTATTGCTTAAAAAATATCAACAGTTCCCCTTTGCCTGTGGGCTAAAGTTCATATCTGTCCATAGGGCATATAAGACCCTTCATGATTTTATTTTTCTTATGTCCAATTACAGCTCTGGCCACTCCTCCCCTTATACTCTGTCATTCAGAACTGCTGGCAGTTCACTGCTGACATCATAGAGCTTAATGGACACAAAAAGAGATGAATTTGATGTGAGGATGGTATTGCTAAGGTCAAGTCAGGGGGAAGAAACAGTGGAACAAGGACAGGTGTCATAATCATTGTTTGATATGAGATGTAGCCCTATAGACATTTTAGACATCTATGCATTTGTTCTGCTGGCTCTTAGATTGGAAATTGTATGTGGGCAGAGGTCATGAGTATTTTGATTTCTAGTCAAAGAGAAAGTCCTTCAGAAAAAGGGTCTGTGGTCCAAAAGTATCTGGCTTGGTGGATTCCAACATATCTGAAAATTTCATTAAAATGTTTTGGGTTGTGTTGGGTTTTGTGAGAAGGCCCAGGAGCCAAGATGACCATGGCCCTGAGATAGTGGCAAACTGTGATTAAATTAATTCACACTTTCTTCTAGGACCAGCTGTGGGGTTAAGTAAAAGAGTAAGTAGATTTGAGCTTTTTATAGGGATTCTTATTTCTCACAAAGGCATTGCAAATAATTTATCCTGTTATCTTGGGGGAGGATTTAGGCCTTTCCCAATCTTGGTGAGCCTGATTGGTGTTTGAATGCCTTCATTGCCCTCTCTGATAATAGAAGTATTTGTGCACCCAGAACATACAAATAGAAAAATATAGACAGAAGTACCTTTCCAGCCAGATGTTACTATTAAGGGCCTCTCCTATACCCATAGCTCCACTTTGGTAGGATGATCAGTGGAGAAGTAATTGATAACTTATTGGTTTCTTGTGGGTGGCAGATGCTCCTACAGGACCAGACCTTACTTCATGAAATTCTTTGAAAACACCAGAGCATGAATATCCATTCACAGGAGCTGCCATCTCCATCCCCGATTTTGAGAACCAATTGCATGACGTGACCAAAAACAGGCTAGGTCAGAAGACCAATGACTTCGTATTTTGAATTAACAAATGTCTACTGGAATGCCCCCCCACCCCAACACCAAATTCAAATTCACCCAAAAGTAGACCCTACCTACAAGGATTACCCAACCCTTCACTAGTCTTATCATGTGGCTGGCTGTGAGTAGGACTGCCATATATGATAGTTCTAATTATAAACTACATGACTGCAATGGACACCAGTCATACTGCAGCACATGTGCATGGTGCCCCTTGGAGGTGAATGTTAAACAGCTGGCAAGGCGACAGACAGGACCCTTATAGGAGCCTTATAAACTTTCTTTGGTTCTTGTCTGAGGACTTTGGAGCTCTTTGGGCCTTTGTGAAGGTCACCAGCAGAAAATGGAAATCAAGGGATTTTCATCAAACTGTTTTAGGTGCTCATATGTATCACAATTACATTCTTCCTAATGTAACAGAGACACTATCCCTCTCTCTAGAAGGAGAAGCTCTTTGTTTATTATAAGGAGATAAATAAGAGATGTAAATGGTTTACATGGTGATAGAAATGCCAAGTCAGCTTAAAGGTTCTGGGGGAAGAAAACTGAAATTAGAGACATGCTAAATTAGAAATGAGAATAAAAAATTGCTTGAGGTGATTAGCTCAATCATGCAGCACATCAGGGAACCCTGAGTGAGGATCATTTCCAAGGGATATTAAGCAAATAGTGAGGATTTAACTGGGAAGCAGCAGAAGCTATTATCCTAGAAGGCTGAGGTCAGGAAGCAAGTATTAGGTGAAGTTTCAGGAGAAAGGCACCTTTGATGGGTCAGGGAGTCACTCAGGTAAATCATTTCTTTCCTTAGGAATTTTTTTTTAGTGTGTTATATTTCAAAAGCATTTTCAGATACCTGACATTCCTGTCTTCTGCCTTTTCTTACTCACTTTGGTTATGCCTCCTGATTCACTGTCCCCATGACTGTCCACTCTGCTTTGTGTGTGAGGACATGACAGGAGGGCATCTGTGCATTGCTGTCCCCAGGCGTTTTCATTTTCATACCTTTATTTGCAAAAGGAGCCATTGTTCACATGGGACAGAAGAGAATGGCAATCTTGGGATGTTCAAAGGTCTCAGTGGCTCCTGATCCAGTTCTAATGCTTGGTGTTTGATGCAGTTTCCAAGGAGAGCTGTGACACAAGGGCATTAATCTACCTTGGGACAGCATGGGGTTTTAATGCATTTTCTGTATCTGAAGAAAGAGCCTCCTATGGAGATGGTGAAAGGAGTTATGGTGAAATCAATATCTTCATTTCACCGGCACACTGACAATTTGTAGCAATGATACAAGGGATCACTGCACAGGGAGAGCTTGTTGGACAGAATCTAATACACAGTACATATACTTTTGAAAATGAACACAAGGATTTGCTTTATGAGTTAAAAAAATAAAAGGTGAATGTGCTACACGGAAACAGTTTCTTTCTAGAAATATGTAGATAACCTGTTATAACATCAAAGACATGATTCTGGAGCAAGAAGGGTTTCCCTACATCTCTCTTTTGCAGAAGTCATGTTGTCTACAAAAAAAGATAAATTCCATAAAGCACATTCAGGAATCAGCAGAAAACATCCTGGATATACATTGAGATATCCAAATCAAAATTATGATGTCTGATATTCTACTAATGGTACAGACCAACCAAGAAAATGGTACAATAAAATGTCAAGGATAAGGCCATTCAGCCTTGTCAGTGAGACTGACCAAGGAGGAAAGTGAGGACCACCTTCAAAGGTATTATGGGATGGGAGATGAGTCAGAGTACTAACTGGACCAGACTCTTCAGTCCTTTCTCAACAACAGATGTTAGATTTGATATTAATATCGGTGCTACTTGAAAATAAAATTTAATAATCAACCACTGATTTATTTTGGTTTCTTTTTTCCCTGGGTAATATTGTTCAGCTTAACCTGATTTCTGTGATATTTCAATATTATATGTATGCTGTTGCAATTAGCAGTGTTACTTAAGTATATATCCCTATATATCTATCTGATCTCTTTCAAATAAATAAATGAGGATGGATGCATATTTTTTAAGGTTATTATTCATTGCTTTGGTATCTTCATAGTTTACACAAGGTTTAAATATATACATGGAAAAGCTTCTTTATACCTGACATGAGTAACACCTTGCTACGGTAGGAATCATTTCACTTATTCTATATGCATGTAAAGATAACATGGAAATGGTTAATTTTTCTCTACTTTCCATGAATTTTATTTTTCTTCTTTTTTTATTTTTTCTGACAATCAATGTCAAGGAATATAAAGCTTCTCTTATTTGGATGGTTTTAACATTTTCTTTTCCAAAGTCATGAAAAATTATTTTTTACTATGTCTCTCATATATGGTGGATATTTCGAAAGTGGGGTAAAGACAGCATACATACGAGATGCAGATATTCAAGAAAATACAGTCTGCTGCAAAATTTCCCAAACTTGTGTTCTGTGAAAAACTAGTCTCAAAAGAGTTCCATCATCAAATAAGTTTGGAAGATGCTGCATCTTATCTCCCTTCCTGGAGATTTACAGCACACTTGAGAATATTTAAAATGTTGGTAAATTCTGCAGAAAAGAAACTGTTTTAACAAAGCCCAGCATTTCTTAAATTTACTTGACAATGAAACTTGGCTTTAAAATTCATGAAATACCCATTAACAACCTGCTTAATTATCCCTTACCCATGGGCAGGATATTCTGCACATAGACTCTTGAACTTTAAAGTACATGGTCAATACTGTCTAATGTCTTTGGCAGATTAGGGTAGAAGCAAAAATATTAATCCCTCTATCCCCCACCTTAATGATTTCATCTCTTTTCATTACTTTCTCTATTATTTCATAAAACTGCCCAGTTAAATGGTCATTTGGCTTGTCAAATTAAGTGCTAATGTGAATGTTATAATAATAGTGACTATTAATTGAGCACCCACTGCATGTCAGGCATGAAGCACTAAGTCAGACACTTAATGCAAACTTTCCTTGTTCTACACAACAACTAGCAGGGACGCATTGCATCTTCACATGAAACATAAGGAAACTGTCTGAGAGAGGTCGTATATCTTGCCCAATTCACTTGCTACTATAGGATACAGCCAGAATTGCATAACCATCTCTCTTGTCTCCCAAGTCCCTGCAGTTTTCACTATATCATACTGTCTCTCTAAATAACCTGAATTCAGCCAGTCCCAATGATATAATAAAATATGAAATGATAAGAATAATGATGCCAATAATGGTAATTAATAACAACCAGAAAGGTATTAAAATGCTACATATTGTCATTGTACAAAATTTATGGTGGTGCAGTGTTTTAACAGTAAAGAGCCCACTCTCCTTTTTCCTACCCCCACATCCAATTAATCATTAACTCTGGTTAATGCTTTCTTTAATATCTCTACTGCCACTAACTGTTGTGCAAGTCACCGTCTTATCTGCTCTGGATTTTTACTGCAAACAACACCTGACCTAACCTGTATCCTTGCCTTCCTCCAATTCATTTTGTGTACTGCAATCACAATGGTCTTTTTAAAGTACAGATCTGATTACCTGATTACTCACTCTTCAATTAAAAACCTCTAAGACTTCCCACTGACAATAGGTTAAAGGCTGAACTTGTAGGTTTCTATGATCCTTCATCTTCTGGCCTCTGTCACCTTTCCAACTTCAAACTCCACACTCGCCAACCTCATCTGATTGATTTGTTCATTTGTCTGTTTGTTTTCTTTCCCCCTCCTTCAACCAGAAGTGAGCTCAAAGAGGGGAGAGACCTAGACTCCCCTGTTGACCACTGTGTCTCCCAATACCCAGCACTCCCTCTTACACATAGTAAGAACTAAATAAATATCCATTGAATGAAAGGATAGATGAAAGGGTGAAAAGGGTGAATGAATGAATGAAAGAGAAGTAGTGAATGGGAGAGAAAGAGAGGTGCAAGGGATGTCCAGAACATGTCCCCTGCCTGTGTGTCCCCTTTGACTTTATCGGGACTGCTAAGAGAGAGGACAGGGTTAGAAGAGGAAATTTGCTTTCAACAAATTTTGTGGGATGTGGCTCCAGCAGAGCTGCTTCGTGGCCTGGGTGAAACAGTGTGATGAGACAGGAGGGCCGTTACTTCATCCACAGGGATCTCATCACGGCTCTACAACCTCAAGGAGGGGAAGCTTTGGAAACATCAGAGAGAATGCCTTTGGAAAAACCATCAGCCTCCCCAGGAAGTGCCCTACCAACAGAGGCAACAGTGAGAGTCTTCAGGCCCCTCAAGGACAGTGGAAATTGATGTGGGAGAAACAGCAGGAAAAGTTGAATAAGCAGACACTTCATGCTGAGTCTGTTTGGTAAACTGCTTTGTGAACACATGCGGGACAATCATTCGAGGATGCCAAGGTATATTCATTAGGGGGTGGGTAGGGGAACCTTCTCAGGGAAGAGACTAGAAGTCCTCCTCTTTTAAGAAAAAGATAAACGGAAACATGTTTCTTCGAGTTTATCCCCAGGCTTGCAAATTCAGGAACTACTATTCTAGAGCACTGAATTTGGAGCCAGAAAATCTTATTTCTGGCTCTTCCACATTCTAGCTCTGTGGCTTGGGGCAAGCTTCAGAGTCTTCCCAACTCCAATTTCTTCATCCAAAATATAGGGATAATGATACCTACTGAAGGGCATTGTGAAGAGCGAATGAGGTAAATTTTGAAAATATATATGAAAACATTTTTGTAAAATATAAAGTGCTATAAATTATTATTTATTTGTCATAGTCACATGTAGGATGGTCTGTCTATCTTATATTTAAGCTCTTCAACCCTTAAATGATTCTTTCATTTACATAACTGGCTGCCCCAGGAATCATATTTGTTCTCCTGGATCCCACTCCCTTGGCCAGAGTTTGTTGGACTAGCAGTGGACATCTGACCTAAGCTCACCCAGTTAGATTTTCCTACCAGAGATTTTAGAATTGGAACCCAAAACTCTATTTCAACCTAAGTTGGTCTTTTGACTGGCAAAGTCCTAAACTCAGGAGCTACGGGCTGTCATCATAAATCTACGCGTTACTGCAGAGCAAAGAAGGACAATCAGAGAGAAATGAGGCAAATTTGTGGAGAAGCTGCCTGGATTCAGGGTGGATTTTCAGTCCCTGGGTCTAGTTTCCTTGAATATTACTGTGTCTTAATTATCAATTCTGAGTCTTAATTATAAATGTCCCTTTCTGTCTTTAGTTAAATAAAGTTGGCTCTTGTTCTGTTACAGTGAAAGAATCCTAATACCAGATAGATAGATGGATAGATAGATAGATAGATAGATAGAGATGGGTAGATAGATAGATAGATAGATAGATAAATGGAGATGGCTAGCTCTATTACTGAATAACATATCTGGTTAAAGAAAAAGGCTGTGCTGCAACCTTGACTACATGGAGCTCATCTTATAAGCATGTGGTGTGTCTGCTTTGTAGAGGTGTTATGGAGACTACCATCTGTGTGGCGATTTAGTTTGCCAAAAGAAGCACTATATGAAATAAGGTGATAACTACAATAATAGAAATAACAGTACTTAATAAAAATCAGAAAGGTTTAAAAACTCTACATTGGCCAGTGTGAAATCTTCAGCAATGGGTTGTTATAATATCGGCCATCACAGCAGACTTGCTTGGCTCTTGGTCATGATCCAGTACCTTCATATGGTCATACCAGGCACCATTGCTCCTCTGCACTTTTCTGACCTTTCTTATTTAAATGAATTCCATCTGTTTGGAAACACTTTTCCTTTCAGAAGCTTGCAGTATCCACTTACTAACCATACAAAAGAAATCTTCTAGTAAAAGAAAATAATAATATTTACTCCTATTATTTCATCCAGTCATCTTCTGGAATGTTTGCAAATGTCCATACTGAACTTTGACTACTATAAACCCTGTTCTAATATTTCAAAAATAAATGTGTTAATAAATCTCTAGGAAGTTATGTTACCGTTGTTATATATAATTTCCATCTTGCCCCACATAGTCCTATTGCACAATTCATGCCTGTACAACTAAAATTTGCTTTCTTGGTATGTCTATTGTTTGAGTAACAATAATTGGAAACCAATAATATTTTGTAAAACAAAGTCAGGTATACATATGCAACTCCAATTATGGTCACATTAGCTGGCTCAGAGTCTGACAGTGGGAAAGAATACATAGAATGAAGGATCTGAGTGGTATGGTGACATAGCACATAAAAAAATTGAGCTTTATCATTTGTAGGATCAGAGTGAAACACATATATATTACACATATGTGTTTATGAATACAGATTAACCTTTTGTAAGAGCCATACAAAATTTATAATTCAGTTGTTCCCAGTTATTTCACAGTGATAAAATTACCTTCAAAAGCCTATTTTTAAGAGCTCCTTTGATCAGAAATGTTTGCACACCTGAGTAGGCTGAGCCTAGCTCACTGATGTCTGAATTAAGAAATCAAGCATGTATTACAACTTCACTAATTTGTAGGGAGATGTGTTTGAATTAATGAAAGAGTATGAGCTATTTTATGTAATAAATTACAGTACTTTATTAAATTAGCATTCTTTTCAAGTTTGCTTCAATGAATTATAAATTTAACTGCTAATAAGCCACATTCATTGTCACCATGAATATACTAAGGTACTTTAAAATACTTTCTCTATGAAGTAGATGTTTTACAGAAATTCTTATATTTATTTTGAAAATGATACCCTTGGTTACAGGGTGCAGGGGCAAGTAGCTCAGTCTCCCCCCCACCCCCAAAAAATCACAGAAAATCTCTATTCTGGTGTTTCCCATAATAGCCTGGGTCTATCTCCATCATTTTATGTAACATATCAATATTTTATTTATCAGCTTGTGAGTCTTTTTCTCCCTAGTCGACGTCAGTCTTCATGAGGTTAGAGATGGGTCTTGTTCTTGTAGTCACCAGCTCATCACACAGTGCCTCGCATGTAATGTCTACAACAATAATCATTTGTTGTACGAATCAGTGTGTTGGCTTTCACCAGCAATTTTCATGGATTTTCTCAGTGGGGTAAAGAATTATTACCGCACACTACAGGGATCAGAAGGTTAAGATTCTGCTGGATAATGAAGCCAGATAATGTATCATCTGAAATGATTTCAACACAGATTCTTTAAAATGTGTCCTCAAAGAACTGGTGCCCTATCAGTTCATATTTATTGGTTTAGAAAACAGAAAAGTTAGTCCCATGAAGAAAGCCAGAGAAACTTCCTCAAGTCACGAGTAAAAACAAATTGTAGAAGTTGGAGCAAGACGGCAGAATTCTGTGATCTCAGAATTTCCACTCCCAAGAGCCCTTCCAGATTTCTTGAGTTTTCTGGCTGGGTTTTAACAACAGTGATGTTTTGTTGGACAAGGCATTGCAAAGAATCACTCTTTAGTGAACCTACCCAAGAAGCCCCATGTGGCCCATCTTTGTTCTTCAAGGGGCTGGGGGCACACAATGGGACTTTGAAAACTGTTTTCAGCTGTTGTCAGTTGTGTAAGAATGGGCTCATTTTCCCTCTGAGAACCCCTACCTGCATTAATATCTTTAAGGGCAACCATTAGTGGTTTCCTACAGTGACTTCGCACAACCACATTTTCCAAGCTTGTGTTGGTGCTCTGAGTATCTGGAATTAGAAAATATTGGTTCAATGTGAAGAAACAACAAATCTGCAGCCTTTGTTTCATTCCCACACACCTGTATCCATCCCAAGTTGTGTCTCTACAATGCTAACTTCCCATCAGATTTGGTGACATCGTGTCTCCCTCAGTACAGCGAGATCAGTTGGAGCAAATGCCTGATTCTGGGGTGGCCCTGTCTATGTGCTGTCTGTCCCCTGCAGCTCTCCCTTTCAGCATGCAGCAACTGTTTGCTCATAGGCCTGATAACATCCTAAATGATTGCATTGCTGTCAATCTCTGTTCCTTTAAGGAAGAGATAGAAAGCTCCAGAGCTTTACCCTGAGACTCCAGGTTTTTATTTGGCATTTGGAAAAAGTGACCTGTGTGTTCAGGGTCAAGCCTGATTCCCCAGATCACTTTATGTGTTCACAAAAAGAGCTCCTGAGTTTCAGCTTGAGTCTCTCCACAAGATGACCCAAGTTTCTTTATTGTAGGTTCCTTGGGGATTTTGCCCTTGTAGCTCTTTGAGAGCACTTATCTGCTGACAGTGAATGAGATAGCAGATCTCCTCAATTCCTCTCTGCCCTTCCAAGGCAGCTAATGAGATCAGAGCTCTACTGTGTTTTTATCTACATGAGATAGGATATCAGGGTTTCTCCCAAAGCAAACCAAAAGGCAACACAAAGAAGTGCTGAAGGATGAGAAGACAACTTGGGACAGGATAACTTGTGCCTATAGCCTACCTGTTAATTAACCAGAGCCAGGATCCAATCATATGTTATGAATAAGAGCAGGAAGCAGATAAATTGTAGTCACTTCAGATTAGCTCACTCAAACAAGGTCAGGAGCAAGTTAATTCTTAAGCATTTAATTCAGTCGATTGGCACTCAAACGAGGAGAGGCAGAAACAAATGGTGTAGTCTTTGTAAGGTTGTTAATGTGACCCAAGCTTATAAGAGTAAATTAATATTTTCAGCCTTTCCCCAATTTTTCACTATTGTATAGATACACATTTTCAAATGTAAGTTTAGTGTCCTCTTCTCTGGGTTAATCTCAGGTCCACCACCACTGATGTGATTTAACTATTTACTTAAACTTTATGTGCCATAGTTGTCTTATCCATAAAATGGGGATAACATTAGTAGCAATATGTATAAGAATTAAGAGAAATAATACATTTAGAGCATTTGTTAAGTACTCAATTGATATTAGCTATCATTATTATTTCTGTATATTCACATTCGAGACACTGAAAGATAGGAATTATTCATTCATTCTTATTAATTATTCTTATTCATTCTTATTAATTATTAATTAATTAATAATTAGGAAGATAGGAATTATTAATTCATTCTTTTCAGAACCTGTCTTCAAGCAGGGATGGGTATTCTCCTAACCATGCTTAGCGCAGAGCAATAACTATTCATGGGTAACCATCAGCCTCTAACCCTATGGCATTTATTTTCTCTGTTACATTAAAATTAGATGTTTGCTTGTTATAATTTCACAATTTCTTTTCCTTTTCTAGTATATAATTAATACTGGTATTTTACCATCTTGGTAAGGAAAAAAATGTTAATCCTCGTATTTCTGCATTTTGGTAATTTCTCAGAGAGCCGTGGCTCTGATTCCCCTTCTGC